AGTGGATTATCCTTGAGATTATTCAATTAATGAGGTAGAAAGACAGTTAAATAGAAAGGTTAAAGTGGTGAGATCTGATAGAGGTGGTGAATATTATGATAAATTTAATGAAAATGGACAATGCCCAGGTCCATTTGCAAAGTTCCTTGAAAGTCATGGCATTTGTGCGCAATACACAATGCCAGGTACACCTCAACAGAATGGTGCAGCTGAAAGGCGGAATCGTACTCTTATGGAAATTGTTAGGAGTATGTTGAATAATTGTACTATACCTTTATCATTATGGATGCATGCATTAAAGACTGCTACATATTTACTTAATAGGGTTCCTAGTAAGGTAGTTCCTAAGACCCAGTTCCTAAGACCCCTTATAAAAACTATGGACGGAAGGAAACCTAGTCTGAGCACTTCATGTTTGGCGGTTGCCAGCGGAAGTAAGGAATCAATATATTCCACATGAAAGAAGCTGATGCTAGAACGGTTAGTGGATTTTCATTAAGGATATTCCTTGAAAAGTCAAAAGGGTATAGATTTTATTGTCCTAACCATAATACGAGAATTGTTGAAGTCTTGGTAATGCTCGGTTATTTTGAAAAATGGCCAAATTTAGTGGAGCAATGAACCACGTTAAATTTGAATGTGGAAGAGATTTAATGAAAATTCCACTTCAGATGGATTTTCCTAAATGTCTCTCGTGGTGTCACTGGTATCACGTAACAACAGGGTGAACAACAAAACACATCGGAAAACCCACAAAATGCACCAATAAATGATGAATTCAGCAAAAATGAACAATCATTGAAGATCAAAGGTCACAGAAATAGCATACGGAGGTCACAAATGCAAAGGTAAGGCAGGCTAATTGTTTTTAAATTATAATAATCACTCCTTGCTCTAAAATTGTACTAATTGTTTACCTTTGCCTTCCACTCCAATCCTGTTAGTTGATTATGTTGGTTTAACTCACTTGCAGCTATGAATGTGAATTTGAGCATGATAATGAATCAGTCTCTTCCAGAAAGCCAAGAATTGGTGATTATTCTGAAAAGTGTTTTAAATGCCAATGCGAAGAAGAAATGCAATCAATGAGTTGACAAATCATAATGTACTGGTGCTATTTTAGTCAAGTTGAGTACCTGAGGGTCGAATAACAATTATGTGGTTATGTTAAATTGCAGGTATCAAGACACAAAACGTTGATATCTCTTAGCCGGGCAACATTGTGATAAAGTTAAATATATTATAAGGCTCAACTCATTGCTAAACTGATTTCAACTCAAAAAAGAGTATGCAGCACCTTGAATAATATAAGAGAGGACATTTTATCTCTCAGTTTCCAAAAAAGTGACTCTTATAAATTACTAAAATTTTTACAGCTTGTGATTGCTACCTTATTCTAATAGTAATCTAGAAGTCTATCACCAAAATGGATAGAAATAACAGCCTTTGCAATATTAAGATGGCTTGTATCTTTCATGTATGTGAGATTTCAATAAATAGAGACCAACTCAGATATCTAGTATGCGTCTACATGATAGAATAAGAAATACATGTAAAGTGTGATAAGTTCACAAGACAGTAATAATTAATATATCGACTTGAAAGCAAGTGCTTCTCCGTGTCAGATGGTGTATCTTAAGTCGCAATTAAAATTACCATCACTTCATATCGCGTTATAGAAAAACACGTGTTGGATTGCGTGTATTTAATATGAGGTCAGTGGTGAAAAGTGACTTCTATGTATGTTAGTCCTATGAGTGAAATTGATGACATTAGAGACGGGAAATTCTACTAAAAAAGAAATTAAGATTTCTTGCCTGTGCGAATCGGATGTTGCGTTTGATCTTGCATGATGTGGTTAAAGGCGTTTTGCTCTCTAAGAAACTTTGAAATGAAAGAGTATGGGAAGGCATCCTTTTGTGATTGAATAAAATATGTACTGGTGGATAGATCACGCAAGGACTGTTTAGGATTGTCTCAAAAGAGCCTTACAATTGATATGGTATAGAGATAATTTAGAATGGAAAAATGCTCCAGCATGAATAGTTCCATTCAGAAAGGAGATAGGTTCAGCGAAATGCATGTCCTAAAAAATGATTTTGGAAGCGTAAAGAGATGGAGGTCTATTTCCATTATGCCGTCAGTGGTTTGGCGAGCTTAATGGTATGTTTCAGACATCTGTACATCGACCGCGATATTAGTCTTTCGCCGTAGAATGTTAGGGCGATATCAAAGTAATCGCTGGGATGGACGCATTGGAAGAGCTGCCTAAAAACCATAGAAATAAACTGTAAGGTATTCGCACAAGGACTAAAAGATCATATTACTCACTAAAAGTATAGAAAGGCTCCAGCCGATCTAGGAAATGCTGGTGGAGGATCACTCCGGCATCAGAACTCAGTATGCCGTTTGTGTAAGATTCCAGATGGTAACGACAGCTATATTATTCGAGCTTACGTTTATTTCATTTCGAACGTACGAAGCAGCATATCATAGAAACAGTAGGATAAAAGCAGTCTGGTCATTGCACTTCCATTTATCCTGAGGCTAATATCATATAGTTGGCTACTCTGGAGGCACTCGAATTTCATGGTCTATCCTTGCGAAACTTTTGTTCTGCATGGTGCGTGAGAGGATAAATATTGTAGAACAGAGTTATCTTAACTCAGACCGTTGAGGAATTTACTGTGATAAAGTGCGTCAGCTGTCTATTTTTCTTATCTGCTAAGAATAATAAGGTACCTAAAGCATTGCAAAGCACATGGTATTTAAATACCTATTCTGTGAAAGAAAGTTGCAAAAACACAAAGAAGTCATATGAGACGACACGGTTAGATAAATAATCTGTATGATTAGTCGGTAATCAGCTACACCTAAAGGTAAAGTCCTGTTGCTAATTTTCTCTTACGTCGACTCTCAAATCATAATCACAAGTTTTCTGCCATGTTACTTATGTCTGGGCAGTTATAGATAAGTCCTTGTTTTAGCATGATGGTTTTAAACTTGTTATATAGTTTATTATTATAATAAAAATTCATAGATGTTATATGTTCTTTTCATATCATTGTGACCACATGGAAATTCTAATAAAAGATAATGATTTTTTCCTCATATTTATGTTATTATTCCACATTATAATTTAGATTGTATACATTATTATTATGGTGAGTTAGAGAATTTATCCGATAACAAAACAGTTTGATTAATTACTCAATAGGAGCTATTGTATCGATTAGATGATAGTTACTCCATATAAGTTTTAGTGATATTGAATTGTCCTATTGATATTATTGGAAGAATTTTTTCATGTCGATTAATGACTTTTGTGTTACCGCTCATATCTAATCTATTTTTAATTGCTGAGTCAAGGTAAAACAATGATATAGAGATTTCAGACAGTGCACATTGCCTTAAGTGGGAGATTGTTAGTATTATTTTTAAATTTATTTGAATAGTTTGCACCCATGTTTTTATAAAAATTATTAGCGGAATTTCTCTAATTTAAGGTGGCCCAAGATGTATGGTTATTGGCTTAATGGATTAAAAGCCAGTCTAGGGTTTTTAATTACCCTCTCTACCTTTATAAAAGATAAAGGAGATCAACATTAGGTTTAACACAGAAACAAGAGAGTGTGAGCGGCTTCCTCAAACAATACGAAATAGATTGGTTGAGACGAGCTGCGATAAAAGAAACTCCCACAGTTGTTTGATTCATTCTTAAACTGACCCTATTAAGAGAGCACTTACGAAATTGAAAAAGGACTAAGAATCGAAGAAACGTAGATCTGCTATATGATGAGAATCAAATGTGTCCCAACAAGGTAAAACCCATAACATTAGATCTGCCGTTTATGGATCAAGCGGTAACGCTTCCGATGTATTTGTATATTCTTGTCAAAAACCAAATTTCTATGCTATGAACAATAGATCTGGGCTATATTAAAGTTTATTCAACAATATAAACTATTAACCATGCAAATGTAATAGTATAGTTTTTATGTTTTTTTTTTTGAACAATTATTTCTATGTTTTTAATTGGAGATTTGCCTGAAATGAATCAATTTTTCATCATATTTATAATAATAGTGTTAATAAATTTTGTATATATCTAACTGGACCAAGTATTGAATGATTGTTTTATAATGACTTTTAAAACATATTAATCATTCTCTATGACATTAGAAATAAGATTTATATTCTTAATCTTGGTTTAATTAATATAAGCAAATATACATTATTTTGTGCTTTACTTCATTACAGAGTGAGTTTCATTTATCGGGATAATAATTTTCGGTGAATTGGGTAACTTATATTTATGAAATATTAATTAATGATAGAATCCATTTCTCGGTTTAGAGATTAGAGAATGACTTGATGCACTATTAAGTTTAAGCTTGATAAAGGTTTCATGTTTAAACTCTGCAGGTGGATTTTAATTCGATAGATAAATAAGTTAAATGGCAATCTGTAAGCTTATAAGGTTTCATTGTGTAAACTCTGCAGGTGGATTTTTAATTCGATAGATAAAATAAGTTAAATGGCAATCTTAAAGATTAAAATTATTATTTAAATGAATTGTCAGTGATTTATTTTATTTGACAAGCATCTGTATTCTTTACATGCAGAACATAAATTATTATATTGTGGAAATTTAAATTAATAAGGATTTTAATCATGAATTTTTAGTGGAATAATTTATGATTAATTATAATAAGAATATACCGGTTTTGTATGGATTTTTATTATAATTTGTAGCCTTATGAATTTATTCCTGCGGTCTTTGTTGTGCCTTAATTATTTGGATTGTACGTGTGTTATGTATTTTAAATAATTAATAGATTAATTTTTTAATTAAAATTTTATTTATTAATTTTAATTTGAAACGAGGATAATCTATTTTTTAAAAAAATTAATCGTGTGAATAACAGAACGATAAAAAAAAATCTTATCATTAGCTTCCCACGCGGAGAAGAGATGACATTTGTTTTTGAATACTGTCTTCCTATAGAAGTATATTCAAAAGAAAACGGAGTAGAGTATCAAGAAACAAACGCACTGTATTTTTTTGCCCATCCAGAAAACCAAAATCCGCAGAATTAATTAAGGTCACACAACAAAAGACTGTCAGATGACTCGAAGAATTCTGAAAAGAACACCAATAAGCATTCTGCGCTACAACAAGTCAATTCTTGTGTGATTTGTGTGGTTGGTTTGCTTTCATACTTGTTTCTAACCTAGGTTGCTTCCGTTGCACAATTTTCAGCTCCCATCAATTGGTAGCAGAGCCTTTCGAAACTCGTATCAAGGTGGCTTATTCACCTATTAATTGTTTATCATGTTTTTTGTTAGATTTTTTGTATCTTTTGTTTGTTACGTGATGATTGTGATTTACATATAATTGTTTTCTGTTTCTGTATGATTACGTGATTATATACATCATTTTTTTAATTGTTTTAATGCAGATTTTATAAAATTGATTTTTTGAAAATCAATCTGCTGTTTTTTTAAAGAAAAATCAATTTTGCTGAAATCTGTATCATGAAAACAATTTTTTTTTCTTTATTAAATTTAAAAAAAAAAAATTTGAAAATTATTTCTGGAATCGTGCTCTTTACAAGAACACGAAGAACATGCAGAACATGTAATGATGGCCAGATTGTCCAGAACAGCACGAACGATAGCGCCGTTGACGGCGGGCCATGCAAAGGTCTCCGACCGACGCAGGCTCACCTCCGGCAGCAGCTGGTTCGTCATTGTTAGGTTTGGAATTCGAACGAGTTTTCTGGGTGATGGTGCTTCACGAGTTGTGCTCAACAGCGAGCTTGCCGGTGTCGGAATGGACAGCCAACGGAAGTGCAAGCGTTGCGCGACCATTGGAGTCCCAGTCTGGCTGTGGCAGAGCTCGGCCAGGGCAAAAATGGTGGCTGTTTGGGTGGCAGTTAAGTTTTCTTCTCAAGGAAGAAGAAAACGTTCAGGAATATTCCCGAACAGTCCTCCAAAGTTTTAATAATTTTATTGCAGCCCTAAAATTGTTTAGCTGTGCAAACATGTCCTAAAATATTTATTCTGGCTCTGAAAGTTTCTTAGTTTTGCAAACAGGCCTTAAAAAAATTTATTTGTATTTTTATTTTGGCCCTAAAAGTTTCTTCTGAAAATTTGTTGTATTTTTTTTTAAATTACAGACAAAAAGAATTTATTCATTAAAAAAAAAAAAACGTTTGAGGCTTTGGAACTTTCCTAGACTCAAATTTCGGAATCAATAGATTTTCTTATATAAGGCAAAGTTTCTCTGATTAATCTAAAATTTGGTGGAGATATCGGAAACGATCTTTTGAATAGAACACACTGCATATGCCATGACGTTAGTTGATTTTCAGCCATCCGAGATCGTTTAGATGAGTTTTTGGCCTTCTCTGTTTTTAGGTATTTTTTTTCCCTTTGTTTATTAAAAAAAATAAATTTAGGTGATAAATTCTTATGGAAATTAGTTATTTTTTTGTTAATTGGAGTCCAACGGAATTTATTCAATTTTTTTAAAAAAAAAGATATATATATTTTATTTTTTATTTATTTATTTATAGGTGTTTCCATTACTTATTAGTTGTGACTGCTTGCATGTTCTTCCCTATCGGCAGATGATATGTATTATATGATCATTGAATCTGGTGTCGTCTATATTATTTTAACGCTCTATCTGAGTAATTTTATGGACCAGTTGTAATAGTTTTTCGCTTATAATTATTTTATGGTATGTCTCCTCCATAGAGTAGTGCTTGTATGTTTAATTTTTATACATGATATGTGATTAGTTTAATCCTCCCATCGAGATTGCTGCTCATGAATGTTGAAGTGAATTTTGGAGTCATTATTGTCTATTTTGCAATTATGATTCAAATTCTATTAATTATTATTGATATGCGATTGTATTTTTAATGCTTGATTTTATAAAAGAAATCGCATCATTCAATCCCCTAGCCAACATCCTAACCCAAAATAAGCTTGAGGGTCCAAACTTTGTGGATTAGAAAAGGAATTTGGACATTGTACTTACTGCTGAGGAGTACAAGTTTGTGCTCAGTGAGGTTTGTCGTGAAAAACCCAGTGAGGGTGCTTCTGATGAGGTCACCAGGGCTTACCAGAAATGGTTTAAGGCTGATGAGATGGCGCGATGTTACATTTTGGCATCTATGTCAGTTCTTGCAGCTAATGGTGCAAATGGTGCTGTGAAAAAGCCCAAGAGCAAGCAACCTGATCACTGGAAGTAGCAATGTCCAACCTGGATAGCCAAGAAAAAGCAAGGTACATCTCTTTTCTATTTATTGGTTTTTGAAACTTGTTTAGCGGTATTAACTACACTCCAATAGTGTGTAGACTCAGGAGCCACTAATCATGTCTGCAATTCTTAGTAGGGGTTTCAGGTAACACGACAGCTAAATGAAGGAGAAGTTAGCATCTTTTTGGGAAATGACACTGAAGTTACAGTTTTAGTTGTAGGTAATATTACCCTTAGTCTTAAGAATAATAAAACATTAGTTTTAAGGGATGTTTTGTATGTTCCTTCAATTAGAAGGAATTTAATTTATGTTTCTAGTTTGAATAAGAACGGTTATTCAGTTTGTTTTAATGAATTTTATGATGATTCTATCATTATTAAATTTAGAAAATACTTGATTTATTCTGGCTCATTGATTGATGATCTATTTATTCTTCAAGTATCACCTGAACTGCAACTTAATGATTCTGAAATAAATAACTTTGATGTTGTTGTACCCTTAAAAAGAAAAGGTCCTATTGAATTCGATCATACATATCTTTGGCATTTAAGGCTTGGTCATATTAATTTAGATAGAATTTCTAGGTTGGTCAAGGATAGACCCTTGAGTTCATTGAAAGTAAAGGCAATACCAACCTATGAATCATGTCTAGAAGGTAAAATGACTAAAAGGACTTTTTCCATAAAGGATAGTAGGGCCAATGATGTTTTAGAATTAATTCATTCTCATTTGTGTTGCCAATGAGTGTCCAAGCTAGGGGTGATTTTTAGTATTTTGTGACTTTCACCGATGACCAATCAAGGTGTGAGTATATTTACTTGTTGCGCCGAGAGTCTGAATGCTTTGAAAAATTCAAAGAATTTAAGGCAGAAACATAGAAGCGACATGGAAAATATATCAAGTCGCCACGGTCTGACCGTGGTGGCAAATACCTCTTTAGGGAATTCATTACTTATTTATCAAAATAAGGAATTACTTCATAATTATATGCACCTGGTATGCCAAAACAGAATGGTATAGTAGAAAGGAAATATGACGCTTATGGAAATGGTTAAATCAATGATGAGTCATTCAGATTTGTCACTTTCTTTCTAGGGGCATGCAATTGAAACAGCAACATATATTCTGAATCTAGTTCCTTCAAAATTAGTACCTTTGACTCCTACAGAACTGTGGACTGGGCATAAGCCTAGTCTAAGACACGTTCAGATGTGTAGTTGCCCAGCCCATGTGCTGAAAGGGAAAGCGGATAAGTTGGAATAAAAAACAAACTTATGTTACTTTATTGGATATCCTAAAGGAACGAAAGGTGGTTTATTTTATAGTCCTAAAGATAAAAAGACCATTGTTAGCACCAATGCACTTTACCTTGAGAAGGACTATATTCTAAACCATATTCCCAAAAATGCTAAGAACGAAAGGTGGTTTAGTTTTATAGTCCTAAAGATAAAAGGACCATTGTTTTAGCACCAATGCACTTAAAAAGACCATTGTTAGCACCAATGCACTTTACCTTGAGAAGGACTATATTCTAAACCATATTCCCAAAAGTCAATTAGCTTTGAGAGAACCGAGAGGGGATACCATACCTACTGACACATTTCCAAAAGAACATGAACCTGAACCATTCATAGTCGGTGCTGACATACTATTACCTCATCGTAGTAGGAGAAATGCCAATACCTAGTCTAATCAACATAGTTCTAGATTTACCAGTACAGCCCCCAAATAGTGAGAGTGATGTTGATTTACATACACAATAGGTGGAACCTATTGACATTTCATTACCTACTGTTATCGAAGAAAATGTTGATGAGGCTCCGGAACCTGACTAGGATTCTGTTGGATCAGTCATAGACTTATTGGCTTTACAGCCAGAGCAAGATGATGGTGTGGCTGATCTGGTAGTGCCTCGTCATAGTGGGAGAATTAGACAACCACTGATTCGGTTAACACTTTTGGGAGAAGCTTTTGATAGGGTCCTTGAAGAAGTGAATACTGAACCAATATGTTACGATGATGCACTACAATATAAAGATGTCGATAAGTGGCTTGTAGCTGTGAAATCCAAGATGAAGTCCAAGTACTCTAATCAAGTATGGGAACTTGTAGAACCACCTGAAGGGGTTAAACTCATCGGATGTAAGTGGATCTATAAGCAAAAGAGGGGTGTAAACGGTAAAGTGCAAACTTATAACGCAAGGCTTATTGCAAAAGGCTGTACTCAGAAAGAAAGGATCGATTATAAGAAAATCTTTTAATCGGTAGCCATGTTTAAGTCTATTAGGACTCTTCTATCTATTGCAGCTCATTTTGACTATGAAATTTGGCAAATAGACGTCAAGACAGCTTTCCTAAATTTAAGTCTTGATGAATGCATCTATATGAAGCAGCCACAGGGTTTCATATCTAATGGCCAGAAAAATTTACTTTGTAAATTGAATAGGTCCATTTATGGACTTAAACAGGCATCTAGGTCTTGAATACTTATTTGACCAGTCGATAAAAAACCTTTGTTTTAGCAGTGTCATGATGAGTCTTGTGTGTATAAAAAATGGAATGGTAAGAAGATTATTTTTTTGGTATTATATGTGGATGATATTCTGCTTATAGGAACTGTGTACGTATGTTGACTTCTGTCAAAGGCTGGCTATCTAAGCGATTTGATATGAAGGATTTAGGAGAAGCTGCTCATATTCTTGGGATCAAGCTTATGCGAGATCGCAAGAAGAGAATGATTGGCTTATCTCAAGCACTTTCTATTGATACCATTCTTGTTCATTTCAATATGTAAGATTCCAAGAAGGGTTTTCTGCCTTTCAGACACTGAATCACTATATCTAAGGATCAGTATCCCAAGACTCCTGAAGAGATAGAGAGCATGAAGGCAATTCATTGGCTTCAACAGTAAGAAGTCTCAAGTATGCAATGTTGCGCACTAGATATGATATCTACTTTGTTGTTGGCATGGTTAGCGAATTTCAGTCTAACCCTGGGTGAGAACATTGGATTGCAGTTAAACATATAATCAAGTACTTAAAAGGGACTAGAGATTATATGTTGGTCTACCAGTTAGAAGAACTTAATCAAGTACTTAAAAAGGACTAGAGATTCAGACTTTCAGTCTGATAAGAACTCTAGAAAATCTACCTCAGGAAATGTGTTTGTCCTGGGAGGTGGAGCCATAAGTTGGAGGAGTCTTAAGTAAACTTGTGTTGCTAACTCCACCATGGAAGCTGAATATGAGGAGTATTAAGTAAACTTATGTTGCTGACTCTACCATGGAAGCTGAGTATGTGGCAGCCTCTGAGGTAGCCAAAGAAGCAGTATGGCTTAGGAACTTCCTTATGGATCTAGGTGTGGTTCCATCAGTTCAATCTCCTATTACACTTTACTGTGATAATAGTGGGTGGTTGCAAACTCGAAGGAGCCATGGAGTCATAAGAGGGCAAAACACATTAAGCGAAAGTATCACTTGATACGAGACATAGATCAAAGGGGTGATGTGGTGGTGACGAAGATTGCATTGAAAAACAACATGGCTGATCCTTTTACAAAGAGCTTACCAGCAAAGACTTTTGATAGTCATGTAGAAAGAATGAGAGTTAAAATAATAGATGCATGGTATAATAGATGCATGGTTATGAGTCTAACTGGAAGATTGATAGAGATATACTATTAACCATGCAAATGTAATAGTATAGTTTTGATGTTTTTTTTCTTTGAAAAATTATTTCTATGTATTTAATTGGAGTGTGATAGAGATATACTATTAACCATGCAAATGTAATAGTATAGTTTTGATGTTTTTTTTCTTTGAAAAATTATTTCTATGTATTTAATTGGATATTTGTATTTAATGAATAAATTTTTCAGTGTATTTTATAATAATAGTGTTGTACAATTTGTATGTATCTAACTGGACCAAGTAGAGAATGATTGTTTTATACTGACTTTTAAAATATATTCTCTAGGACATTAGAAATAAGATTTATGTTCTTAATCTTGATTTAATTAATATGAGCAAATATATATTGCTTTCTGGTTTAATTTATTAAAGAGTGAGTTTCATTTATCAAGACATTTATTCTCGGTGAATTGGGCAAAGATAACTTGTATTTGTGAAATATTAATTAATGATAGAATCTATATCTCGGTTTAGAGAATGATGATGCATTTTAAGTAAGATTATAATGATGATGCACTTTAACCGCGTGAGTAACAGAACGATAAAAAAAATCTTATCGTTCGCTTCCAACATGGAGAAGAGAGGACATTTGTTTTTGAATACCGTCTTCCTATAGAAGTGTATTCAAAAGAAAACGAAGTAGAGTTTCAAGAAACAGACGTATTGTATTTTTATTGCCACCCAGAAAATCAAAATCCATAGAATCAATTAAAGTCACACAACAGAAGACTGCCGGATTACTTAAAGAATTCTTAAAGAACACCAGTGAGTGATTCTGCTACAACAGGTCAGTTCTCGTGTGATTTATGTGGTTGGTTTGCTTTTGCGCTTGTTTCAAACCTAGATTGCTTCTGCTGTATAATTTTCGACTCCCATCAGTTGTGTGAAAAGAATAGAGGAGGCAGGAGAAAAGCTTTTTGGTTTGAAGACCTCTAGCACTCTAAAGAATTTACCAATGGTCTTAGCTTTTGTAGCTGTGTAAATCTCTATTGATTTCCAAAAGGCTACACAATTCTCTGAAACCTTCTTTGAATATTGTTGGCTTGTTAATGGCAAAATCATTGGAATGATGAACTTCTTAAATGGACTTTCACAAACAACATATGGTCATTACGCAATTGAACAAAAATAATATTAAAATAAAACTATAAAACACAATTCTAAATAAATAAAAAAAATAAGCGATGAGTCCATAAACACGGTGGTAAGTAACATCTTGGCAGTGTTCGATAATAACTAGTTTTTAATGTTTTGATTGGTCAAAATGCTAAACGCTATTTTTTATAGTATTCGGTAATATAATTTTTGAACCTTGATAATCAAGTTCAAAAAATTTTTTCTAATACTATATCAAAATAAAAATAAATAAAAAATTAAAATTAGTACATCAATCGTCAATAACAATAAAGTGACGAGTCTTGGATATCCTTAATAGCAAATGTAAAGAAACTCTTTAATAGTGCAAAGTCTTCAACAAACTGTTGGTAACAAAATAATTTAAGTAAATTTTTTCATCTCTTTATTTATTAGTTTCAAGCATGTTGGTCAACATTACCAATATATCAAGCATGTTGGTCAACATTACCAATATAATAAATATTAACC